ATTACTCCCATTATTGCACTGATTTGTTCATTCTATGTTGCCCCAAAAACACATGAATATGCAAATTAGATACAGTTTATAGATGCATTGTATGTAATTGAAAAACTCATTTATGGCCATTTTACACACATTTTGCATAAAAGAAAAATGGTTTTAAAAAATATCTTTCATAACATAGTTGAGAATCATCTTTATATAAAGTTTGGTATAAAAAAAAAAAATGAAAATTGATTTCCGGTTCAAACAAAAAACTCTTTTTGCCTTTTCATGTCTATTCATGTCTTTTTATTTTTTTAAAAAACAGGACTTTTTAAAGTCCCGATGTCCTCTACACATAACATATGAATAAAATATCATTTTTCAAAATTGTTCTTATGCTCTAAACCAGTGTTTCTCAACCCTGGTCTTGACACCCATTTCAGGTCCTGGAGTTTCTTTTAAAGAGCTAATGAGTTGAATCAGGTGTGTTTGATTAGGGAGACGCACAAAATGTGCCGTGCTGGGGGGTGCTCAGGACCAGGGTTGAGAAACACTGCTCTAAACAATGTAATGACATGACAAAATACTAAATTCACTAAACTGTTTTTCCCTGGTAGTCAGGAGGTTAAGATATCAGCACAAGAACACACTCAGCAAAATATCATCTAATTATCCTTATCGATAAAATCCCAGAAATTATTGAGATCTATTTTTTGTCAATATCGTACACCCCTAATATATTTAACATTTTGATTAGAAAAAAAATGTAAATAAATATAAGTGCCCTTTTTTCCACTTGAGCCCCTGCCCCTCAAAATGTCTGTGCACGTCCCTGCGGACCTATATATCCAGGACGGACGGACAACAGCAAAAAAATAATAATCTTGATATCTTGACCGATTACAGAAGAATAAAATAAAGCGTTTCCTTTTCAAACTTAGAAGGGTTCAGTTTTTGCTGATGATATTCTTTTGTTTTATGCCTGCGGTAATTATGAGTGAAACATCACGTCATCATTGTGTATCAAACAGTGCCACCTCGAGGAATAAAGATGCATTGCACATATTGAGTCATCAGATATGTAAATATAGTTGCTCAGGAAAAATATACTTACACATTTACATACCTCGGGTCTCTAGCGACCGTGTACACTTTTTACAAAAAATTAATCAGAAAACAGGCATTCTTTTATATTTTATGATTTTTTTCTTGTTATATTGTTTATAATGAATAGATTGAAGAATACTAAGAAAGCTGATGTCTACCTTTAAAAAATGAAGGAGGGAGAGGAGAGAGAATGATGTCCCGGGTCGCTAAACACCCGAGGTATGCATTTAAGAGTTAAACAGATTTCCTTTTTCATTTCGTTTCTTAGGGCCACCATTTGGACAAAATCTTGTTATAAGATGATTGGAGCACTATAACTTGAAGGCAAATGGCAAAATAATTTTTTTACAGTGTACATAAACTTTATATACTTAAAACTGTGATTCTCATGTTTGAGCTCCGTTGCTTGCTGTCAATACATGCCTCAGAGAGGTAAACACATCCGTTATCTTCAGTACAAGCTATAACTGAGATTGAAACACGGCTGCCCCCTACTGGCAAGCGTGTAACTTTGGTTTGAGAAGTCGGGGGACACAAAATGGGGGAAAATGTTTAGATTTGAATCCCATTTCCTGCATGTACATACATTTGGTGATACAAAATCCAGGAAATAATTAAGCTGATTAATGATCAATTCTGCCAAAAAGAATAGTAGGCTACTAAACTATGTATAAGAAAAAGATGTCTTACTTTCTTTATTGTTTAATAGAGGCCGATCGCCAAGACTTGAGAGAATCATTTTATAAAGTTGAAAATGTTCACCATTAATGTTTTGAATAATGTTTAAATAATGTGAGACTCAATTTCCACTGTTAAACAAACTTTTATTTCAAACTAACCGCTGTACCTGAAAATATAAAATAAATCACTTGTTGCACAGGACAGAATGTTCTACATCAGTGGATCCCAGACCCGGAGGCATTTCTGCGTACCCCCTCTTCCACTTAGACTGCACCTTTTCCTTTAAAGGACAATATTTGCCATTAAATTGACTTTCCAATGAATTTTTTATCTTTATAAATAGAATATTAATGTTTAAAAAAAAAAGTTATAGATGCAATGATGATAAACAAGTGAAAAGTGATTATTTTAAATACTAAAAGCGCCAGTAGGTGGCGGTAAGTCACTGTCTTAATGTGTGAGTCATCAAGTCATTTGTTCATTCAGTAACTAAGCAAGTGGCTGTATTTATAAATGAATCATTGAATCAATGACTCGCGTCTGTGCCCTGCTCGGTCCTGCTCCTCCGAGGCGATGACGGCGTGCGGTTAAAAAAATCATAACAAACAAATTTGAAAGTGGGGGGGACACAAACGTGATTTTGAAAAGTGGGGGGACTGTCCCCCCTGTCCCCAGAGGAAATTACGCCCCTGCCTACTGGTAATGTACTTCATGTGCCAGAGAACTTCACAACGGGCAGGTCATGGGATCCCTTTCCTTGTGGAGCGCATTTTTAAAGGCCACATCTGTAATCGGTTTATACAGTGGGTACGGAAAGTATTCAGACCCCCTTAAATTTTTCACTCTTTGTTATATTGCAGCCATTTGCTAAAATCATTTAAGTTATTTTTTTTTCCTCATTAATGTACACACAGCACCCCATATTGACAGAAAAACACAGAATTGTTGACATTTTTGCAGATTTATTAAAAAAGAAAAACTGAAATATCACATGGTCCTAAGTATTCAGACCCTTTGCTGTGACACTCATATATTTAACTCAGGGGCTCTCCATTTCTTCTGATCATCCTTGAGAGGGTTCTACGCCTGCATTTGAGTCCAGCTGTGTTTGATTATACTGACTGGACTTGATTAGGAAAGCCACACACCTGTCTATATAAGACCTTACAGCTCACAGTGCATGTCAGAGCAAATGAGAATCATGAGGTCAAAGGAACTGCCTGAAGAGCTCAGAGACAGAATTGTGGCAAGGCACAGATCTGGCCAAGGTTACAAAAAAATTTCTGCTGCACTTAAGGTTCCCAAGAGCACAGTGGCCTCCATTCCTTAAATGGAAGACGTTTGGGACGACCAGAACCCTTCCTAGAGCTGGCCGTCCGGCCAAACTGAGCTATCGGGGGAGAAGAGCCTTGGTGAGAGAGGTATGTCTCTAAAAATGGCTGTCCACCAACGTTTACTATCCAACCTGACAGAACTGGAGAGGCTCTGCAAGGAGGAATGGCAGAGGATCCCTAAATCCAGGTGTGAAAAACTTGTTGCCTCTTTCCCAAAAAGACTCATGGCTGTATTAGTTCAAAAGGGTGCTTCTACTAAATACTGAGCAAAGGGTCTGAATACTTAGGACCATGTGATATTTCAGTTTTTCTTTTTTAATAAATCTGCAAAAATGTCAACAATTCTGTGTTTTTCTGTCAATATGGGGTGCTGTATGTACATTAATGAGGAAAAAAAATTAACTTAAATGATTTTAGCAAATGGCTGCAATATAACAAAGAGTGAAAAATTTAAGGGGGTCTGAATACTTTCCGTACCCACTGTATGTGAAGAAATCCATTTATTTCACAAACTTCTTCCTCTAACTACTGCTTTTTGATGGTTTGACGAACAATTACTCCGAGTCGCCCCATGCCGTTTCACAGAATTATACAACGGCAAGAACGTCAAGTATAAAAGCCTCGTCTGTTTAGGGAGGAGCATGCACAGTCAGCAGGTTCACGGCACAGAGTCAGGATAAAGTATAAATGAATATGAAAGTATAAGTGAATGTTTATTTTTTTCACTCCAACTTTCCAGAAATTCCTGCCCACGAAAAGCTGCATGTATAGTGGGGAAAATAATTATTTGACCCCCTGCTGATTTTGTAAGTTTGACCAATTACAAAAAAATTAAGGGTCTATAATTTTTATGGTAGGTTTATTTTAATGGATAGAGACAGAATATCAACAAAAAAAATCCAGAAAAAACAAGTTATATAAAGGTTATAAATTGACTTGCATTTCAGTAAGTAAAATAAGTATTTGATCCCCTACCAACCAGCACGAATTCTGGCTCCCACAGATCGGTTACGTGCTCAAGTGGAACACAGATTAGTCCTGCCACTTTAAGAAATTACTCCTAATGTCATCTTGTTATGAGTATAAAAGAAACCAGTCCATAGAATGGGTATCTTCCATTCAAACCTCTCCCACCACCATGGGCAAGACCAAAGAGCTGTCAAAGGACGTCAGAGCCAAGATTGTAGACCTGCACAAAGTTGGAATGGGCTACAAGACCATCAGCAAGAAGCTTTTTGAGAAGGAGTATTTGACTCACTGAAATGCAAATCAATTTATAACCTTTGAACAGTGTTTTTTTTCCTGGATTTTTTGCTTGATATTCTCTCTATCCGTTAAAATAATGCTACCATAAAAATTATAGACTCTTAATTTCTTTGTAAGTGGGCAAACTTACAAAATCAGTAGGGGATCCAATAATTATTTTCCCCACTGTATATATATTTGATTACCCCGATAGGCCTATCTGTGTAAACGATTTAGAAAAAGTTCAATCGATTCAAACTTTATATCAAGTACAAAAGAGTACAATGGAGAAGGTGAACAAAGAACACTCCATTCATAATCGCTGTAGCTGTCAATCACGTCAGTTCAGCATGAGTTTATCAGTGACTGAGTTCAGTAAAACTCCCATTATAATCTTTGAGGACCTCATGAGATAAATGTTTTCCTGACCAGGCTACGTTAATCTCCCAGAACCTCAGTCAATGGTCTAACACACTTTGTAGGATGCCTGAGTAAAAACATTTACAAATATAATAGCCTGCAGAGCTATCAGGTGGACATAAAATACCAATGTGGGTTGATAGCCCCACCACATTGTGGAAAATCCAATGGCTACAAAAACCTTGAACAACAACTTTGAATTTATCTTCAGAAAGTGTTTTAATGTAAATTTGATGCAAATGCACAACAATGACTGACATGTTTTGTTGTCATGCAGGCAGTGGATGAACCAATCCCAAATAAATGTGAAATGGACCAAGTTCCAAGTTTGCAGCCAACCTCCAGATAGATACTGAAAATGTGCTCTTCCAGTCTTTTTCCAGATGTGGCCTGTCCCAGAGCACTCAGACTAGGCGGCAGGTTCACCTTCAATGACCCTAAATACAGCCAAGACAATGCAAGAGTGGCTTAGGGATGACTCTGGGAATGTCCTTGAGAGACAGAGCCAGAGCCCAGATTGAAATCCAATCGAATCGGTGGAGAAACTTGAAAATGGCTTTCCACCGTCAGTCCCCATCCAATCTGACAGCTTGAGAAAACTATATGAAGAAAAAAAAAGACATAATCTGTAAATCCAGGAGTGTAAAACGTATTGCATCATACTCAAAAAAAAATACTTGAGGCTGTAATCACTGCAGAAAGGTGCTTCAACAAATCTAAAAAATCTGAACACTTATCAATGGGTTTTGATGCTTAATGAATATGTTCTGAATGCAATGTAGACACATGAATACAACATACTGATTTTTAAGTATTATACTGAAGAAGAAAAAAAAACTCAATACAAACCAAATTTCATGATTTTAAAATGGCATGTGAACAACCTTAAAAAAAAAACAAAAAAAAACAAAACAAGAAAACCAAGTTTGGGCCACAGTCATCTGCGACGTAAACGCAGCTTTGATTTCACACAGATATGCATCTTCTGGTGGCATTTTAAATGACCGAGCCATTTAAAACTCTTTTGACAAAAAGAACAAGAATACAGTCTCACATATGCATGCCATTTCATATGTAACTCTAAGTGTGATGAGAGTTTGGGGATTTTTCTTTTACTCTTAACACAATTAAACGGTCTTCCTCCCGAAAGCATATGCAGGTGTTTTCTGAAATTGCTAATTTTTCGAAACCCCTTGTCACACTCAGAACACTGGAATTTCTTTCCAGAATGGGTTTGCAAATGACGTTTCAGGTCCGTGTGATATGTGAAACTCTTCTCACACCGAAGGCACCTGTAAGGCCTCTCTCCAGTGTGAACCCTCATGTGAATGTCAAGGTTTCCTTTAACTGTGAAACTCTTTCCACATTGAGTGCAGCTGAAAGGCTTCTCTCCAGTGTGAATTCTTAAATGAACCTCAAGATTTGCATGGTTTTTGAAAGACTTTCCACAGTAATGGCACATGAAAGGCTTCTCTCCGATGTGAGTTCCTACATGATTCTTAAGATCATTTCTGTCTGTGAAACTCCTTCCACACTGATGGCATATAAAACGGATCTCTCTCGAGTGAATCCTCATGTGGTCTTTAAGGGTTACCGTAAATCGGAAACACTTTCCACACTGACTACATACAAATGGCTTCTCTCCTGTGTGAGTTGTCACATGGTTATTAAGGGTTCCTTTATGTGTAAAACTCCTTCCACATTGAGGGCATGTGAAAGGCTTCTCTCCAGTGTGAATTCTTATGTGGATTTTAAGGCTTGCTTTCTGAGAAAAACTTTTTCCACACTGTTGGCAGCTGAATGGGCTCTCTCTTGTGTGCACTCGCAAGTGGACTTTCAGGTTTCCTTTTCGAATGAAACTTTTTCCACAATGTTGGCAGGTGAATGGGTTCTCTCCAGTGTGAATTTTCATGTGATCTTTAAGACTTCCTTTTTGAGTGAAACTTTTTCCACACTGTTGGCAGGTGAATGGGGTCTCTTTAGAGTGAATTCTCATGTGGACTTTCAGGTTTCCTTTTTGAGTGAATCTTTTTCCACATTGTTGACAGGTAAAAGGACTCTCTCCAGTGTGAACTCTCATGTGGGATTTAAGACTGCCTTTCTGAACGAAACCTTTCCCACACTGCTGGCAGGTGAATGGGCTCTCTCTAGTGTGAATTTTCATGTGGACAGTCAGGTTTCCTTTTCGAATGAAACTTTTTCCACAATGTTGGCAGGTGAAAGGGTTCTCTCCAGTGTGAATATTCATGTGATCTTTAAGACTACCTTTCGAGGTGTAACTCTTCCCACACTGCTGGCAGGAGAATGGCTTGTCTCCCATGTGAATTCTCATGTCGACATCTAGGTTTCCATGTTGATCAAAATGACTACTAGTTTGACTAGTCGTTTGAGCTGTTTTTTGTGACAAAGTCTTTTCATTCTGTGAGCAACTTAAAGAGTTTTCTCCCGTTATTAATGAATGATGTTCCTCATATTGATCCTTAATTTCCCTTTTATTTAGTTCTTGACTCTCCTCCTTCAGCACCCTCAGGCCTAAGGAGAAAAAGAAAGTTTAATGGCAGTTTAATGGCACAAAGCAACACACATCAAAACATTTAGATATATAGAGCTTAAAAAATCAACATGTACATGTAATAATTAGTTACATTTATATAGTGCTTTTCTGGGTACTCAAAGCACTTTACATGAAAGCGGGGGAATCTCCTCAACCACCACCAGTGTGCAACATCCACCTGGATGATGCGACGGCAGCCATATTATGCCAGAATGCCCACCACACACCAGCTTATTGGTGGCGCAGAGACAGAGTGATGAACCCAATCAGTGTATGGGGATGATTAGGAGGCCATGAGGGTCAGAGGCCAATGGGCAAATTTGGCCAGGACACTGGGTTTATACCCCTACTCTTTTTTGAGGGACATCTTGGGATTTTTAATGGCCACAGAGAGTCAGGACCTTGGTTTAACATCTCATCCGAAGGACGGTGCTTTTTACAGTATAGTGTCCCCGTCACTATACTGGGGCGTTACGACCCACACAGACCACAGGATGGTCACTAACACCTCTTCCAGCAGCAACCTAGTTTTCCCAGGAGGTCTCCCATCCAAGTACTGACCAGGCTCAGCCCTGCTTAGCTTCAGTGGGCAACCAGTCTTGGGCTACAGGGTGATATGGCTGCAGGCAATGTACATGTCACTACTTCTCAATATTATTAACATGTCCCGAATACTTTCAAGCTGGCAGTTTTCAAATCCCCATTAAAGGGGTTTTATTATGCTCTTTTACAAAGTCTTGATTTTGTTTAGGGGGTGTACTAGAACAGGCTCTCATACTAGGTTGTTAATTTTACATTATTACAACACCTCTCTCCCCAGTCTGGTATGAACGGCTTGAATAGTTCCTGTATCAAATGAAGGCCCGCCTTCTGAAATACGAAATGTGTTGTGATTGGTTAGCTGGGCCAGTGTGTGCTTTGATTGGTTAGCTGGGCCAGTGTGTGCTGTTATTGGTTAGTGGGCCAGTGTGTGCTGTGATTGGTTAGCTGGGCCATTGTGTGCTGTTAAAACACTGGCCCAGCTAACCAATCACAGCACACACTGGCCCAGCTTAAGCTTTTTACACAAGTTTAAGGCTATTGCGTGCATTTGAACGCAGAACTCTTCAGCTGCGCTGACGGCAAGCATGCTGCTGCTGTGGGACACTAAACACCATCAAGCCGCACTTGACAGTCGCGGTAGCACGGTCTCCTGTTGTTTCCACCAGCGCGGCAATCTTTTTTCATCACTAATTGATGGATGTCTAAAATCTAAAAATAAGGAGAAGCCTAAAACAGGCCCGAGGCCCGGCCCGCGTCTGAACTATGACTTGAAAATTGTCCCGATGCCCAGCCCGAGGGGCATAAAAAAGTCAGGGCCCATCGGGCCCGGGCTGAAATACAGGGCTCTAGCTCTGATCTAGCACACAGAAAACGATTTGACTGAAAATGTATCAGAAGAGATGAAAGAAAGATAGTGGTCATCTGCGTAATTCGGAAAAAGAGGTGGCTTTTGTGCATTAGGTATGTTTTTTTTAAATACTCTTTGTACAGTAGTTATTGTTCATTCTAAATTCATTTTTTAAATGTAGAATATGTGTTACATAAATACATGAAATGTAGAACATATAAAAAAGTGCTCGTGGCTCGTCAGAGGGTGCCCCCCCACGCATAAAAGTGAAACTCCGCCTATGATTGTGCTGTTACTCCTTTCGAGCCGAATTTCACAAAATTGGGTGTTATTTATGGGGAGTAGAATGATTTATTTATTTCCATGAATGTAATCAATTAGATATCATAATATTTAGGCTATAATATTATAAATCAGGTTGGTTTGTATTGCTGACGTAATATGTAAATGATATGCGTGCGGCCCGCGAGACTCGCACTTGGACCATAGTGCAGCCCGGTGGAAAAAAAGGTTGAGAACCACTGCCTTAGCGGAATCGAGTAACAGCACATTGCTAAAAAAGATTTAGCAAACATGCCAGTGCATGTTTGTGTTTACGTTCCAGAGAGTGTCAAATCTCTGGTTTATATTATACATTTACTGTATATATATATATATATATATATACATATATATATAAACCCTTGAATGAGTTGTTTTCAACCAGGTATCATTGTTTCTTTCACAGGACAACAAACTGGACGCTAACTAGTCAGGTTTCAGGAGTGGCCATTCAACTGAGACTGCGCTACTGTGAGTCACTGAAGCCGTGTGGATTGCAAAAGCCGATTCCAAATCATCAGTTCTTATTCTGCTGCTTTTGACACTGTCAATCATCAGATCCTCCTGTCTGCCCTCTCTTCACTGGGCATCACAGGAATTCCACTTCACTGGTTTGAATCCTATCTCACTGGTAGGTCTTTCAGGGTGGCCTGGGAGGGGAGGTATCCAAAGCACATCAACTGGTCACTGGGGTTCCTCAAGGATCAGTTCTTGGACCCCTCCTCTTCTCCATATACACGACATCACTGGGCCCCATCATACAGGCACATGGCTTCTCCTACCATTGCTATTCTGATGACACACAGCTCTATCTTTCATTTCAACCAGATGATCCAACTGTAGCTGCACGGATCTCAGGCTACCTGGCGGACATCTCGGCATGGATGAAAGAACATCACCTACAGATCAACCTGGCAAAGCCTGAGCTTCTTGTCTTCCCTGCCACTCCAACTCTACAGCATGATTTTTCCATCCAGCTAGATTCTTCTACAATTACCCCATCAACTTCGGTCAGAAATCTTGGTGTAATCTTTGATGACCAGCTGACCTTCAAAAGACCACTTTGCAAACACTGCTCGATCTTGTAGGTTTGCATTGCACAACATCAGAAAGATCCGTCGACGCCTCGTGGTACCATCACAGAGAGGCTCAAAATCACTTTCCAGAACATTCTCGTTCACCATTCCTGGCTGGTGGAATGATCTTCCCACCCCTATTCCGAATTCTGAATCCCTGACAATTTTCAAGTGACAGCTGAAAACTCATCTCTTTCGGCGCTACTTGACTTCATCCTAAATAAGAAAAAATAAAAAATAAAAACTTTGTCTTACTCTTTATTTATTCCTTCGCTTTCTAGCTTGTACTTATTTGAACAATGCCTGAAACTTGGTATTACGAGCACTTCCTGTGTCTATTTGCCTCTTTAAGAAGAATTGCTTTATGTATTCCCAATTGTAAGTCGCTTTGGACAAAAGCGTCATCAAAACGACTAAATGTAAATGTAAATATAAATATATATATATGCACTAAATAGGCACTACTTTAACGACAAGACAAGGTCATATAGTTGTTGTTGAAAAAAATAATAATAGTAAAGAATAGCACTGAAGGCAACAATCCTTGTTACCTCCACCACGTTTAAAGTTTATGGCCCGCCTAACTCGAAAACTCGAGTATCAAAATAATCTCTCAAGTTTCCCAGTAGTAAATACAACTTGAGAGGCCGTTCATGTCCAATTTCCGATTAGGATTTATGATAATTCCAACTTGAAGGCAGCATAAAACGTGCTCCGTCCCGGAATGTAAAGTGCAATGTGAGTGCAGCTATGCAGAGCATAAACTTCTTTGGTAACACTTCCTAATAACTTTCATTAATAATCATCCACAAACATTATATAATGTTTAATAGATCATTAGTAAATATAAGTTAAAACAGCTAGAAATATGAGATAATGTGCTTGTTAATCGATGCTGTCAATCGATTTAAAAAAAAAGGAATTAATCACACTTTTTTTTCTGAAATTAATCGTGATTAAACCCACCTAACATTAAAGTTTTTAAATATACATATATTTTGCAACAATTTCACATTCAATCTTCAAATTTTACAATATTTTTAATATTTGTTTAATGGCATCTGTTTTATGACTGAAGGCGAGTATCACTGATACCAATACTACTGATGTCTTTAAAAATGGTTCTTTTTTCCCTCTAATATTTAACCATTAACTAGAATTATGAGCTTTAATTATGCTCGACCTTAGTGCAGCTTTTGATCTAATAGACCATGATATCCTTATTAAATGTTTAGTGCATGTTGTGGGTCTGAGACGGACTGTTTTAAAATGGTTTTCTTCTTATTTAAAGGGACGATCCTTTTCATTGAGGGTTGGGGAATTTTCTTCCTTTTCAGTTTCTATTGATTGTGGAGTACCTCAGGGCTCCATTTTGGGGCCTATTCTGTTTTCACTATTTCTGTTGCCTTTAGGCCTTATTTTTAAAAAACACAGCATGTCTTATCTTTACGCTGATGATATTCACATTTATTTGCCTATTAGATCTGGTTAGAGCAAAATAGCCTACAGCTAAATGCGAGTAAATCTGAAGTAATCATTTGTGGGCCAAATAAGGTTGATTGTGACATAAACGATGTGTTAGGTACATGGAAAACAAATGTGCAGTCCCAAATAAGAAATCTGGGTGTAATTTTTGACTCCGCTACAACATTTGATCATCAGATTAAATGTGTGGTGAAAAGTTGCTTCTTTCAGTTGAGGACTATTGCAAAAATGAAATCCTTTTTGTCTGTTGCTGACCTTGAGATAGTGATTCATGCATTTATCTCCTCCTGTTTGGACTACTGTAATGCACTTTATTTGGGAGTGAGCCAATCTCTTATTTCAAAATTGCAATTGGTCCAGAATGCAGCTGCGAGGCTGCTTACTAGCACAAAGAAAAGGGAGCATATTACTCCAGTTTTGGAAAAGCTGCACTGGCTTCCGGTTAAATATCGGATTCAGTATAAGGTGTTGCTGTACGTTTTTAAAGCTGTCCATGATATATGAACTCTGGTAGACCTCAAAGATCATTTAACTGCTTACTGCGCTCAGTTCTGAAAACTTGCCTGAAAACTAAGGGGGATCGTGTATTCTCGGTTGCTGGCCCAAGACTGTGGAATACCCTACCACTTGACATCAGATCTGCACCCTCAGTTGATGTTTTTAAATCTCGCGTGAAAATATACTTGTTTTCTATGACTTTTAATTG